ACAAGTCAATAGGTGGGTGGCTGCTAGGTTTTAATTTTAGGTGAAAGTGTTGGAAGGATAGTGTCTAGATGATAGAAAGGAATCTGTAGTCCTATTAGTTGGAACGTGTGTGGAACAGTATATTCTATTTAAGATCCAGTACTTCTGTGGTGGTGAAGTGTGACAAGCATGGTTGATGGGTTTGGAGATTAAGCCCTGTGAGGACCACTGGAAGAAACAGATTGTTGAGACTGGAGAAGCTGAGCAATACGTGGAGGAGATGACACTATGACAGACCAAATATTTAAAGGACTTCTACATAGAAAAACAGATGTCGTTATGGCTCCACAGGGCAGACCTTAGAACCTAGACAGGGCCCTGAGCTCAGCGTAACCCAACGAGATCTGAGAGATTGGTAGAGTGCGTTGGTCATCTTGTAACCATGGGGCAAGGGGCGCTGTGGAAGGACAGCGAGATAAACGACACTAAGGCTGCCTCACAAGATGCTGTCATTAACGTGTGTACATGTTCTCTGTTTTGACACTTCTACAGATTATTCAGGTCAAGGAGTAGACCAACTGCAAAAAGTGATTAACACAATCAAAACCAACCCTGACGACAGAAGAATCATCCTGTGTGCTTGGAATCCAAAAGGTCGAAAGCATCCCTGTCATCCTCTCTTGTCCTAACCGCGCTGTTAGTGCAGAGGACAGCATTGTGGCCTTGTACAGAGGCAGCTGGCAGAGGCGGGCTCTGGGAGCTGCTCCCCGCCACCCGACTGATTGTGTGACTCTGGGCAAGTCACACTTGGCCCTATTTTCACCTTCAGATGCTGCAGTTGGACCCATATGATCTTAATTGTGTATTTATGCTCATTCTTGCTCCAAAAAAGGGCTTTAAATTGCCTGTAAAAATACGTGTAAGATTTTTGTGTGTGTGTGAAGAAGATTGGCTCTGAGCTAACATCTGTGCCAATCTTCCTCTCTTTTATGTGGGATGCTGCCACAGCGTGGCCTGACAAGTGGTGCTAGGTCCATGCCCGGGATTTAACCTACCAACCTGGGGCCGCTGAAGCAGAGTGCATGAACTTAACCACTGGGCCAGCCCCAGAGTTTAACTTTAAATGGAGGCAGGTGAAGTTGCAGATCACCTCCACCACAATATTATTAACATCTTTAAAGACTATGTTATAAAATTAAACTTTACCAGGCATAATAAATATCCAGAGTAGAATGTTTGCATTTAGAATAGAGACTTTGAATACCGGAGGATGTTCCTGGGACACCGGTTTCCTGGGGCCCCTGAAAATGAATTAAATGAATTCCTCCTGTTATTGTTTGCTGCCATGATGGTAGCACAAGTTAATTTCAGTTCAGATGGAAGAGCATTGCTTCAGCGGTAGATGTACATGTGCAGAAGTCTCCTGTTGGTGGACAGGTCTCCATCAGTAATGTGCCATCCCTGGGACTGGAATGCTTTTTTTTTTTTTTTTTTGATAAGGAAGATTCACCCTGAGCCAACATCCATTGCCAATCCTCTTCTTTTTTGGCTTGAGGAAGATTGTCCCCAAACTAGCATCTGTGCCAGTCTTCTTCTACTTTGTATGTGGGACACCTCCACAGCATGGCTGATAAGTGGAGTATGTCTGCACCCGGGATCCACATTGTGAACCTGGGCCACCAGAGTGGAGCGTTCAGAACTTTAGCCACTCAGCCATGGGCCGGCCCCTGGAATGGTCTGCTTTTGGCATGAGGGGAATGTGTGGGTCCAGGGGCTCACTGTGGCCCGGTAGCTCTTTCTCTTGACCTCCACTATATGCGTTGGCTCTGTTTGTGTCTGGTTTTACTTTGCCTCTAGTTAGAGTCTTTAAAGCCACCAGCCCTCCTCATTTTCCTTTGTGCTGGATCCTCAGATCTTCCTCTCATGGCTCTGCCTCCCTGCCATGCCCTCTGCCAGTTCTACGTGGTGAACGGTGAGCTGTCCTGCCAGCTGTACCAGAGATCGGGAGACATGGGCCTGGGTGTGCCCTTCAACATTGCCAGCTACGCCCTGCTCACCTACATGATCGCACACATCACGGGCCTGAAGGTGGGCTCCCCTCAGAAGGAGCGACTGCTGCCAGCCTGCTACCCTGAGCTCTTAGATTCTTTAACATGGAAGATATTGTAATTGCAGAGGATTCAGTCTCTGATTAGTTTTAAATAAGAAATGAACTCGCTCACTTTGTAACCTTCCATGGAACTTTCCTGTCTTTGTGGTGTATATAAACTAACAGGTTTATATAGGTTGTTTTTAGTACAACTGTTTTCAAAAGCTTCACTGGTTAAATTATTTTCTGAAAAGCTTTGGGATGTCTGCATACTCTAGAGAATGTGTTTTTAAACGATGTGTTTTAAAGGAATTGAAACTAACATTTACTGTTTTGCTTTCTCCCATGGGCTTTAGCCGGGTGACTTTGTGCACACTTTGGGAGATGCACATATTTACCTGAATCACATTGACCCGCTGAAAACGCAGGTAAGAATTCTGTCTGTCACACTTGGGAGTTTGGTGCCTTCCCTCGATAAAAGATTGGTGTATAGAACATTCCTCATGTAATAGGCATTCTCCTCCGTGCTGTGACAGGTAAGATGACCTGCTCCAAGTATAGGGGCCTTAGTTTAGGGACAGGTGGTGGGCAGGGACAATGCAGACATGTGCCTCAACCTCCACGGGAACTTAATGTGACGGGTGCTGTGAGGTACTAAATACCAGTACCAGAGGAAGAGCCGCATTTGGATCAGCGGAGCTGGGACCTTCCAGAAGTGGCATTTCAACTCGTATTTTTACTGGAAGCAGAACTTAAATACAAATGTTTTCTATTAATTTTCTTTAATGGAAGTTTATGCCAAGTTTCTTTCTTTTTTTTTGGTGAGGAGTGGCCCTGAGCTAACATCTGTTGCCAATCTTCCTTTTTTTTCCTCCCCAAAGCCCCAGTACATAGTTGTATATCCTAGTTGTAGGTCATTCTAGCTCCCTATGTGGGACGCCACCTCAGCCTGGCCTGATGAGTGGTGCACAGGTCTGCACCCAGGATCCAAACCGGCGAACCCCAGGCCCCCAAAGCGGAGCTTGCAAACTTAACCACTTGGCCATGGGGCCAGCCCCATTTCCCCTTAATTTTAGGCTAAATACAATACTTAGGTCTGAACTTCCAAGTCTGTGCATTCAAATCCATAAGTTATAGTGGCCAAACATAACGATCTGAAATGACAAAAATATGAGCGTGTTTGTGCTTAATGAGCCCCAGGGAAAGAACTTTCCAGTCAAAAACCTTTTAGCCTCTTCCAGAGGAAATCTAGGTTTGGAAGTTCCTTTGAGGGAGCTTGGCTGCTTTTGATGAGAGGGTGACTTCGGGGCTCATCCAGATGCTTCTCTCTGGCTGTCTGCTGGACAGAACAGTGTGAGGTCGTGGTCTGTCCACATCCTCATTGCCACTGTCTGTCCATCCCAGAAATCCTGGCTTGCATCTCTTTCTGTTAATTGTCAACGGGTGTCATCTTTCCCTGCCCTTTCTGCCAGGGAGTTGGGCTAGGGATCATGGGATCAGCCACACTCGGTGCCTACTATGAGTTACACATACAAAGTAAGACTGTCCTTGGTAAATGTACCAAGAGCAACCGATTATAAGAACTGAGACCTGGTGAGCAGCCAGCCTCCTGACGCCACCTTGAGATTCCACAAAACCCCTTGCCCTCTGCATGTGTGAGAGAATCAGTGACGCTCCAACAGTGCTGCAGACCAGGGACAAGGTATCTAGTGTTACACCCTGTAAAATAACACTTTGTTGGTAAAATACCGTGTCCTTGTTTCATGAAAGGACACGGGCACAAAACTGAAGCAGGTCATGCAGATATGGCAACATAATGGTCTTTTGCTTTTAGCTTCAGCGAGAACCAAGGCCTTTCCCGAAACTCAAAATCCTTCGAAAAGTTGAGACAATTGATGACTTCAAGGCTGAAGACTTTCAGCTTGAAGGGTACCATCCACACCCGACCATCAGAATGGAAATGGCTGTTTAGAGTGCTTTGAAAGGGCTTGTTTGAAGGACAGGTCAGTCTTCGGCGGTTGGACTGGATGCCCTGGTGAAAGTTGTTTTTGCTCTAAAGAAAGAAGGAACTAGGTCAAAAATCTATTGGTAACCTATCAATTAACTTTTACAGCTGTTGCCACTAGCAAATCTAACTGCTGGTTCTCTTAGTATAAAAGGCCTTGAGTTTGGTTAATCTGAGGATTTATGAAAATGCTGAGACTATGAAAAAGGTCAGGAGAGTGAAAACTCACATACTCTTAACAAAAACGCAGACATGCATTTCAATCCCATATTTTTGTGAAGGTCATTGATTTTCAGGAATTTTATAAGCTATTCCCCCAAATCTGAGTGAGTTAAATAACCTCAGTCATAATGATAATGTATAGTTACTGTGGTTATGAACGTTTAAAGTTATATGTGTTTTTTATATTGCTGCAATAAAAGAAGTGTTCTGCATTCATTTGTTTGGTTTTTTAAAAAATTCTATATTGCCATTCTGCTCAGTGTCTGCCCATAATAGATTTAACTGAACCCTCCTAAATAAACACACTGCAGTCTTGTTTGGATACTGCTTAGAGGGTTAACATATATTTTAGAAATGCTGACTAAACTACTTTGCCCTATTTTTCTGTGATTCATTTAATTCTAACTGCATTTTATCATTAAAATAATGATTATTTAGGATAAAGCGTTTTTTAAAGGTTATAAAAAATAGTGGGAAACACCATTTTGCCCTGGTTGGTTTCAGTATGGTGTGAATTCTCTAAGAATACGCCTGGACTGTGCAAGCAAGGATGCTAAACCACTTCAGGGCTAATAGTGGACTCTTTTTCACCTTTGTGGCGTCCTGATACCCCATGGTGCAGCAGAACTATTTTTATTCTGCTAATTTATGACAAGTGTGAAGTAGAAAGAATAAGGAATTGTTCCAACATATTATGCAACAAGCTGCTTATTTTCAAAGTACAGTTTAATGTCTGGGCATCAACCCTTGATAGAAATTTTGTAAGAACATCTTCCTGGACTTTGAGTTAGTTAAATTTGAATTTGTTTAAGGATTACGTCAAAGAATATGTGGTCATTTGCTAAAAGAATCAAGTAATAATTACTGAGCTGATGCCTGAGGTTAATAGGACTTTCAGCTGAACTTGTTTTGATTGGTAGGATGATTTTTCTTTTTCCTATTTTTGGAAAACCATACCCAAGAAATCTTAGGCCTTTTTACTTAAAAAAGAAAAAGGTGTTAGGGCTGAACATTTAATTCCCTCGCGCAGCAAGGAGTTTCTTCCAGACTTCCCCATCTGGATATTGGTGTTTCTTTACGGAGTCTTCCTTCATTTCTGTTGAATAACCAGCATCCTATCAAAGACAAAAAATGCAGTAGTGTTAATAAGCTCCCGGAACAAAAATCATTTATTTTATATGTTTCTGCTGTTCCTAGAAATGCTTTTAAATCTAAGCCAGAGTCAACTGAATTAATATTTTCAAGATGTTTTCAGCTTGTTTGAAACGGGGGAGAGCAACACACCTTATTGGCTACTTTGCATGATTAGTTAATCAAACTGCCTTTGCTCAACCTCTGTTGGTGAAAATGTGCCCCCATCTCGAACATGATGTGGATAAATGGCTCGGCTAACATAGGCGCAGTCAAACCTTTCAGTTCACTTGCCAGATGGAGCCAGGTTTGGTTTGTCTTTGCACAAGGAGTGCACGTTTCACGGTGTCAGCTGGAGAGGAAATGCTGGTGTTAGAGAAGCCTTTAGGGGCAATTTCACCCCTAATCCCTGACGTTCAGGCGTGGGGAATTCGTCGTTCACTAAAGAGCCATTTGTTTCTAGATACTGGAAATAAACTCCAAGGAAACAAAGCTTTGTGCTCTAGGGTCTAGCTCATGAGAACCAGTACAGCAGGAGCTGGCAGCGCTTCCTGGGGAGGCCTCCCTGGCCAAGCTCACCTTAGGAGGCATGTAGGAAGCCTTCTCGATTACCACAGGATACTTGAAATGTTCGTGCAGGTGGTCGACATACTCACACATCCTAGGAGGAAGGGATCAGATTGGAGCAATAAAGCCTTGTTAGATAATTTACGTGGCACTAACTGTTAAAGGGGCCAGTACACTATCGGAAAGGATAGACTAGTCAAGGTTTGGCTGATACCACGTGTTTCTATGCAAATCCCTCAAGCTCAGTTCTTTCCATCTGTAAAATAATGCAATGTGGGGCCTTGGAGGAAGTGAAGTGTGAAAGGTTTTGTGACCCCAATAGGCATCAATTTAGACTCCGCAAGTATCTGTGATTATTTGGGTACCTTTAGCCAAAAGTTAGATGAATGGATCAAAACCACCAAATAAGGTCCTTTCTATACATGATTTAGAAGAGCACAAGTTTTAAGATCAGACCAATCTGTACAGATTCAGTGTCAGCCACTTTCTACTTTTGTGACGGGGCAAGTGATGTAACTCTGTGGCCTTACTTTCGTCATCGGTTAATGAACAGCTGTGACAGGCAGGCTGTGTGCTGGGGGAAATACAAAGGAATGGGCAACAGAGGGCCTCATGGTTCCGGTGGACATAGATACTGAGTTATTGACTAATAGGCGCTATGTACAATCCATGAAGAACAGGTTACAGATGAAGAACCAGCCCCATGGGAAAGGACAGTTGGGCCTCGAAGAATAACAGGGAACAAGTGTTCCACACAGAATTACAAAGCAGAGATGCTGTGGTGTGACAGTACACGTGTCACACAGGGTGTCTGGTGGCTGGGTCACACTCGGTGTCTGGTGGCTGTTCGACTTGCTCAGTGGCATTCCTGAGCAGTGAGGTCTGCTTTCAGGAGAGTGGCATGAGGCACTTCCATCCCCTCTTGGGTGGTCACAGTGCACTGTGGTCAGGGCTGACCCCCAAGACTTGTAGTACCTTTCAAGGTTGGTCAGAACCACTCCCCGCACCCCCCCCCCCCCCCGCTTGGTCCTGCGTTCAGGAACTGAAATGGGGGGGAGGGAGGCAAAAGCAGAATATTCATTTTTTATAGTTTACTTCAAGCATATTAAAAGGCAGCATTTGTCTACTGAGTACCCAGCTTAAGAATAAACCATTACTTTATAATTGAAGCCCCCTCTGCACCCTTACAGGTCCCATTTCTCTCTCAAAATCCTGAATTTGGTGTTTCCCTTTCCCACACATGTTTTTATGCTTTCACTATATGCTTCCAGTGTTCTGTCTGCGATACCACATTTCATCCCAGGAGGAAAGAAGAGCATAATAAAGCCTTATGCCTGCAGATGCCTGGAAGGAGACTGTCCTAATTTAAAGCTCACCTGGGGCGCGGTGAGAAATAAGATGGAACTAAATAAAGATGCAGCCAGATCTTGGATGCCTCCAGTGTTAGGAAGAGATCAGACAGAAGCACAGACTACACATAGGATGAAAGCAGGGCTTTAAAAAATCAGAAACAGGAGGTGGTTGAGGAAGTTCTGGTTTCCACCTGGTTGCAAACTACCCAGGCCCATGTACTTAGAAAACAAAGTGAGTCAGCTACCAAGAACCTACCTCTCAAAGAAAAAGGACTCTAGTCACGGGTGGGTCTGTTACTGCCCTCTGGAGAAGCGGAAGCAGACCCAACTTGCCTTTGAGTTATAGGATGTGCCAATGGACAGGGTTCTTGGTGCCTCTGGTCACAAGAGCAGAATTTTAAAAGATCTGGCCTGGAGTGAGGGGCACTAGTGAAGTGAATGCCACGTTACTGACCTGTTTGTAAGGCTTGCAGAGACTGATATGAAGTCAAATATAATCAGGTGCTGCACCAATTCACAGAGGCCAACTCCGCCCGCATGGGGGCAAACAGGAACTAAAAGGAAGACAGATCTCTATTTAATGCCAAGTAGGGCAGAGACAGGGAGGGGTGGGAGAGAACCTGTGGTTTTTCTTATTACCCACAGGTGATTAAATCATTAATATTTAGGAATGAAATTCCAAGATGAGACTCATCAAAGATTCTCTGATTAAACCTGAATGAGAGTTAGAAAGAAATCAAAATGGCCAACTGCAGAGGGAACCACAGGTGGTGATGGACGGGGAAATGGAGGTCTGGTCTGCAGCTGTGCGGCACCCTTACTTTCAAACTTTTTGGCCATCAGCAACACTGAGAGGTTTTCATTGACACTTCCCAGCCTGCAGCTGTCAATCTGGAGAAACTGCAGGGCTTTCGCCTGTAGGAGTTGCTTAAATATCACTCTATTATGGCACTGGAAATAGAATTAAACCAACAGAAGAGTCAGCCTTGGCCTTCAGGATCTCTGCACCCGGCAACACACCAATTCTGTCCCTCATCAGTGGCCTTCAGGAAGCCTGGACTGTGTTTATTCTTCATTCTCACTTGGCACGAGGCAAGCCCTGAGAGTCCAGGCGGGGGCTCACTTCTTTACAAATCTGCTGGCAGAACAGTGTGAGTCATGTGAAAGTCCCTCTGGCTTGCCATCTATTAAGGAATAACTGTCATAGCGACTAGCAAGTGGGAGATGAAGCGAAGCATCAGGATGAAATACCGTGACTGCAAAGAGCAGGTGGCAAGGACGACAAAACAGAAGCATGGTAGAACAGCACTGCTCCTTTTGCTGGGAAACCGAGAGCCTGTTACTTCACACTGTTCTGCGCGTGGGCTGACTGCCGAAGGTTCTGGCAGGCAGTGTGCTTCGTTTATAAGCACAGAAAGGGAACGCCATAATGTTTACTCAATTTGGAAGCTGACTTCCTTAAAACCATACAGTACATTTTATGCCCTTGCAACAGCAACTTTAAATTGCTGCCTTGTAATTTTGATTAGACACTTTGAAAAAGATAAATGACCTTAGTCATATGGATTGTAGAAAAATATACAAACTTTGGACTATATCTGACTCCAGACTCTAATGAAGTAATGACCCAATATCTAAGATTATGCAAACCTCCCAACTCAAAATAAAACAGGTGATGTAGCCCAGTGTACACCAACGTCCTCAGTTGGTGGCCAGTGTGTAATGACTGCAAGGAGACGTCACTTACCTGTTCTCCAGTGGCAACGCCAATTCCTAATGGGACCAACGCCTATAAAATATAAGGCAACCTGATGTTATTTACCTAAGTTTTTGAACTGCAACTCCTCCTATTTAAAAATTTAGAGCAGTTTAACTATTTAATGTTAACTACTTTTTTTTTTAAGATTTTATTTTTTCCTTTTTCTCCGCAAAGACCCCCAGTACATAGCTGTATATTCTTGGGTCCTTCTAGTTGTGCCATGTGGGATGCCGCCTCAGCGTGGTTTAGATGAGTGGTGCCATGTCCGCGCCCAGGATTCGAACCAATGAAACACTGGGCCGCCTGCAGCGGTGCGCGCGAACTTAACCACTCGGCCACGGGGCCAGCCCCTAATGTTAACTATTTAGAGCTGAAGAAGGAAGCATCCCTGCTGCCAGGCCAGGTGAAGTGTAAGGAGTGGCTGAAGGCAGTCAGGGGACATGCGCACAGGAGGGGCTGTGCGACTGCAGAGGCGGCCGGCACATGTTCTACGCTGCCAGTAGCTCACTCCCCGGCTGTGGCTCTGCAGATGCTCTTCCGCTGTGCCCTGGCCCCTGCTCCATTCTTGCCCCTGCCAAATGTGAGTGGCGCTCCTCCTCTCCGGGACGTGGGCAGTGGTGTGCAACTGGGAGAAGACCCGGCCACTCAACAGTGACTCCTCATAGACTAGGGGGTCCAGCCTCTAGCTCCTTCCTGGAGGTCCTCACTCCCTCCATTCCCTTCTTGTTGTTTCCCTGATGACCCCCCTTCAGTGGTTATTCTAGAATACTCTCCCTTCAAGCTCAGTGGGTGGCCTTATATACTACTTAACGGGCTAGACTCACCTCATTCCTCACCTGGTGAACTCCTCACCTGGCGAAGTGCTGGAATCTTCTCCTTAACACAGGCTGCTCTCTCTGTCCTGCCACCTGAAGCTCCCTCACTGCCCTTCCACCAGGGCTCTAGGTGGCATCTCACCGGCCCCCACTGGGATGGCAGTGCCTCGCTCACTCCCCTTGGCATCTCTGGTTTCTCCTCAGCTTGCTTTCCCATTGTTTAGGGAACAGTATCAATGACACTAACAGCTCACACTTTCTGAGCTCTTGTCCTGCACCGTGCAAAACCTTGACTGAAATGATTCTTCATCACACCCACGGGGACAGGAGCCATCATTAGTCCACTGCACAGATGGGAAGCAGGTGCACAGGGCTAGTGACTGTCCCCGGATTGCAGCGCTAGAAAGGGGTGGCACTGGGGCTGGGACTCTATGCTGACTCCAGAACCAGAGGCGGCATCTGAGTCACTAGATAAGCTAACTTCCCTGCAGAAAACCCCTTGATTTAGGAGCCAGGTGTCCCTGACCCTGCCACCTGTCCTGCCTCTAGCAGGATGTGGACCTGGGCAAGTCTCAGACCAACTGAAACTAAAGCCTCCTCGCCTGCGAGTCAGGAGTTAGAGCAGGTGGTCCCTGAGGCATCTTCTAGCCCTAACGCTTCATGCTTCCTGAAGCGTCTAATTTAAGTATGCTTGGTTCCTTATTTCAAAAGAAAACAGCAGGGTGGGTGGGAAGACGTGGAGGAGAGAGGGAGGGGAAAGCCATTTGACTTACTCATTCTACCGTTTTTTTTTTAAGGAAGATTAGCCCTGAGCTAACATCTGTGCCCATCCTTCTCCGTTTTCTATGTGAGACGCCTGCCACAGCATGGCTTGATAAGCAGTGCGTAGGTCTGCACCTGGGATCAGAACCCCAAAGTGGGGAACCTCAGGCCACTAAGGCAAGCGTGCGAAATTAACCTCTATGCCACCGGGCCGGCCCCTCATTCTACCATTTTAAAGCATATGTTATGGGTACTGAATAGTACCACATTTATTTTGTCTTTGTAAATCTTTCCTGAACCTGCTCTATCCTGGCTGCCCTCTCCCTTCAGCTCCCCACCACCCATCTAGATGACTCGGAAAGCCTGCTAGCTCCTATCCATCCCTCTCAATCCATCCTACATGCTGCTACCAGTCAAATCGTCTTTAATCCCAGTCTCTCATTCAAGAACCCGCAGTGGCTCCCTGTGCTTGGCTGCCTCTTCTGAGCAGGTGGAGCCCACAATCTGGCCCCACATGCCTGCCTTCCCCACAACCCGCCACGTGCACCCGCAATCCGTCGGGTGTCTCCAGGGCCTCCGCCCGTGCCGGCTGTCTCCGCAGCCTCCCTCTGCCTTGGTTCATCTGCCTGCCTTCCTCAGATGCTCCTGAGGGGACGGCCTCCCTCACGGAAACAAAACCGCAGAGGGTCGAAGCCCAGAAGGGCTTCTGAGGAGACTCCAGGCGGCAGAGTCAGGTCCCTGTCTGGACAAACTGGCAGGCCCTAGGGTGAGGCTACCTCACAAGAATGCCAAGGTGAAAAACCTTGTTTAGCCATGGCCCCACACCCAGATTCTCATTTTGGAAGGATTCCTCGGGTCTCAGTTGTGTTTAAATAGAAGGTGGTTGTCCCCCCAGGGCTCCTCTCCCGTCCCCCTCAGCTGCAGCCTCGCTCTCATCCTGCCTCCAGGAGGCCGCTCCCGCCCTCCCGGCCCACACATCGCTCCCTTCAGTGAACTTCGGGGCCAGCCCAGCACTCCTCCTGTCTGGGTTTCACGGATCTTGAGGTTTTTCTCTCCAGCTAGGCTGTGAAGTGGGGAGAGTGCAGGGCATTCCTGTGGAATTCCTTCGGAGGGTTTCTGTAGAGTGTCTGACATCAGCAGACCATATGTTGATTTATTGAGAGAAAAGGAGAATTTTGAGCCGCCGACCCCAATGCCCCAGTAGGACTTCACATAGGACACACTGAGACGTCCCGCCTAGAACTTGCAACTAAGACTGTCCTCAGAGGGAAAATTTTAAGATCAACACATAATGTGGAAAAGCAGAGCAAAGCCAAGTCACCTCAGGGAGGAATAACAGTTCCTAGGCAGGCGGGACTTGACTCCAAGCCCAGTGAAGGTGCTACCCCAATGGCACAGTGCGGCGGGAAAGGGTTATCAGATGAAAACGGAAATGAGGGCGGGGCCCATGCAAGCGCTGCCCCGGGAGGGATGAGGCTTAAGATTCAACTCATCTGGAGCAGAAGCAGGCGTATCTGTGCTGCGGAGATGGGCGCGTGGGGACCACCTCGGTCTGATGCCATCACATATTCAGATCCCCTAACCAATGCTGCCCCGATTCCTCACTCCTCCAGAAGCCTTCGGTTTCCTACGGCTGCTCGTGGAGCTTGCTCTAGTCAGAGGACGCAACACTCTAGCACTCCCAGAAGTCCTAGTTCTCCTCTTCAATTAACCAGCTTGCCTTCTGGCTTTAAATAGCGATGCCGTCAGCTTAACTAGTGGGAGACTCCTGAGAGACAGGATGTTTCTCAGATGTTGTGACATATCAGGTGCTTCCTACACCAGAAAGGGGGAGAGGCCGCCAAGTCGGGGTGAGGGCTCTAGGGAAACAGGCAGCCTCCTCCTGGGGAGGCCCGACCTTGACCTTAGCCAAGCAAACGTTTTCTTCTGAGTCATCCGGAGGAGTCTACGCTTTTTGTTTCATTCTGGGTGAGTAAAATATTTTAGCATCAGTCAGATTTCTATATTTACAAAGTAGAGGAACCATGCCTATTAACCTTTGGATTGCTGGCAGCCTTTCAACTTTTAGCAATTTACTTTCTCTAATAAGAAGAAATAGGGGCAGTGGATAAGCTGAAGGGAACAAAAGGATGTCAGGTCTGCAATTCCAGCACTTGTCACACGTTACAATTATTTCAGCTACTTCATCAGGAGACATAAAAGGCTTACTAGCAAAGGAATTTTAGGATCTGTCATGACCACTCTGGAAAGCCAGACAAAAAAATATACAGTAACAGCAGCAGCAGCGGTAGGAGTTTTTCTACCTTGGAGATGGCGGCGTGTCCCAAAATGTCATCAGGGGAGGTTGGCTCCTCAATCCACAGCGGCTTGAATTCAGCCAGCTTTGACATCCACTCCACAGCCTCGGGCACATCCCAGCGCTGGTTGGCATCCATCATCTGCAGGGAGACACAGACCCTTCACAGTGCCCTGCTGGTGCTGGCCTTGCTGCAGGGCTGTGGCTCTGAGGGAGGAAATGCTGCCACTCAGTGCCACTGACTGCCGAGCAAGACTCCCAGTGGGAGCCTGATATTTCCTCTGAGAGGCCCAGCATGCAGCCATAACAAAGGGAGCCAAAGAGTGGCCACCAAGACTGGAACGCTCCCTCCAGATACTGGCTTTTAGAGGAGATGCAGACAACTCATGGAGCCACTGTGACTTGTGGAAGTGCCTGGGCTGGGCCCAGGACAAGTGTCAGTGGCCCTGGAGCTCTGGCCCAACCTGCATTTAGATGCCACCCAAACACATGTGTCTTGCAAAATTCGCTGTTTGTAGGAACTGTTTTATCACACTTGGAACCATGCACAGTCAATGCTGAGTTTGTTCAATAGTCATTTGTCGACCCCTGCCTACTATGTGTCTGACACAATAATGAACAACCCGAACTGTACCATTAATTAAGCACCTAACCCACTAGGCAATTTATGGATTCTGTCCCATTTAACATTTATAATAACCCTATGAGGCAGTTCATATTAACTCATTTTATAGATAAGAAAACTAATATGCAGAGAAGTTCAGGAACTTGCCCAAGATCAGTAAGTCAAATAAATGGTAAGTTCACGTCCAGAGCTCTCTCTGCAAGGCCCTGGCTCTCTGCGCGCCACGGTCCTTCCTGGAGGCCAGGTGCCAGGTGTGCAGAGACTAAGAAAGGGCCCTTCCACCCCTGACACTGTCACGCTTCGAGAAGACACACAGAAATAACGTTCCTGGCAGAATGTGCTAAGTGGTAAGAGTTCCCTGTCTGGACACTATGAGAACCAGAGGACAGTGCGCCCAGAATCTATCTGTATCATACCTTATTTGGATGAGGATGAACTCATAAGACAAAAGTAACATTAACTCATGTATAAATAATGGGACTCCTGATCCTGGGTCAAAGACTCAAACTTCTATTCTAACTTATGAAACAAGCCTCTAAAACTTCATAAAAACACCTTATTGTGTGGTCCTTTTATGAAAATATTTTACACATAATAAGAAATGTTTTATAAAAATACATAGCCAGGGATAATGGATCCTTACATTTATCTCAGCAAAAGTTCCAGCATTTCTTCCACAGCGGCTCCCTGAGGCCCGCCCACCCCAGGAGCCAGGCGGGACGGATGTGTTAAGGAGAATTGAATGCCCAAGCCACCTGGGCGCCAATGGGAGACCTGTTTGCTGAGGCGCATCCACGCCAGCAAGAAGGAACAACCCCTAACCCAGATCTTATTTAACTAGTCCTGCAGAATAAAAAAATTAAAAGCTATCAGCCCCCTCGGTTGCGTTTTTTTCCTTTTTGAGTTCACCTAGTGCAAGACCACAAAGCTGTACTTCCTGTGACATTCAGTTTTAAAATTCCCAGTGTTCTTTAATCCTTGCGTGAAATGATTTGTACTCGGGCCCGCAAAAAGGCTTCACACAGGCTGCTGACTGCTCAATGGTGGGAGAAGGTATTTACCAACGTCTTCTCGGGCCCAATCGTGTTTCTGATGAGTCGGCATCTGCGGATGTCATCCTGGAGATCAGCACCAACTTTTACCTTAAACCTGTACGACACATTTGGTTTGTACTAATTACACATTAGTTTAGATCTGTCTCCTGATTTGGCAAAGACACCTGGATTTTCCACAGAAGCGACTGTCTCTGTCAATAATTCACATTTTCTAGTAACCTCTTGCTCTTTCCCACTCAATCTTCAGACCAGTCACTTGAAAATAACCCTGCAAATGCTCTCTCTCTTTACTCGGTATCCAGGCAATCACTCTACATCACTTGCTGACCCAAAGTCAAGGAACCAGAGAGAGCAGTTAGACCTTCGACAAGATTAACTCAGATTTTGCTGTGCCATGGAAAGGAATTAAGTACGAAAAAGCTGCAATCAGAATTGAAGAGAAGAGTGGGGCTGGGAAGGGGGGCCGAGCGAGCCAGAGCGAGCCATCCTGTTACATTCTGGACGCAAGGATGACTTATGATAACCCACGTCCATCTGAGTGGCCCTTCAGTACAGGGCTTTATCCTAACGTTACCGCATAAAGGGCACCATCTGCTCGCCGCGAGACAAAAGCCAATCGTCAAGAGGCAAGCGGGTGGCAGAAAAAGGGCATTTTATTACAGCTTGCTAGCAAGAGGGAAGATGGCCGACTAATGTCCAAAAGAACCATCTTAAGCGGGGCACAGAATTTTGAAGTAGTTATATAGGCCAGTGGGTCATAGGGGTGGGGGTTAGGAATGTTGACCCTCTGGTGTTACAGGCTGGGAGTTGCCACACCAGATCTTTCAGTTTTCACCGATGATGGCTATCAGCATAGACTCTCTGTTTGGGGAGGTCATCACAGTCCTAAGGAACTCAAAGGAACAAAGTTATCATCTTATCACAGCTGGGAGGTATATGCACAAGCAGGGGTCATAAAATGTACAAAGCAGGGGGATCTCCTGGAGGGTCCATATCCAGCTGGGTTAGTCAGAGGTCATTCAAAGTTACAACATGGTCTCTTTTCTACAATATGGCTTTCCTTATGTTAACCTTGTATAAGCCGGTTTCACTAATCAACTCAGTGAGCGGTCAGCCACAGGGACCACATGGTACATGGCCTGAAGATGGGCAGTAAAGGGACCTGGTCACAGGACCAAGGAGCAGCAGGGGTCCCCTGTGCAGCACAGCCTGCCACTTGCAGGGAGCTCCCCTGATCTGTTCTGACCACCCAACTATTCTCCAAATCTGGCCTCTACACTGGACCCACGCCTCGGTTTCAGTGGTCAGTGGTCAGCCTGAGTGTGGCACTGCCAAGGAGAGGAGGTGACACCACCAAGGGTGAGGCCGGCCTCTTTTCCCTCACTCGCCTAGCTCTCTCGCTCAAGGACTGCCTGAGGACCTCCCTCCACTTTCCACAATGTCCACCTTCTGTGCCCTCAAAAAGCCCCACTCTCCCGCACACCCAGGTGTCTGCTGTGTTGTCTGCCCTGCACTCAGCACTAAACACACCACAGAAGACACTTCTACACCAGGTGGGAGCTTCAGTGGGCCACATCCTCTGGATGCCAGGCTCCCTACGCTGGGAGGCTTATGAAATCTCTCCTCAGCCTTCTCTGCCTCACCAGAAATGACTGCTCCAGCCTTTCCTGGGTATATGGAGAGAGGGAAGGTGCTGGCACTTACTGAGCACTGCTGAGTCCTGACTGTGCTGGTCCTTTTCAGATATAGCAGCTTTGAGCAGAACCATGAGTTAATATTATTCCCGTTTTATAGAGAAAGGAAATGAGGCTCAGAGAGGTTAAGCAATTTGCCCATGACCACACAGCAAGTACTTGCAGGGGACAGGGGAAAAAGGCAAGATCGTGATTCCAGATCCACCACATCCCAAGCTGCTTTCCACTGCTTCATGCTGCCTCCTTCAAGTTCTCACTCTCCCACCCTTTATTTAGCTGAGGAGTTAATAAGAATTCAGTGCTGCTCAAATTTCAATGTGCACACGCGTCACCCAGGGATCTTGTTAGAATGCAGATTCGGATGTGGCAGGTCTGGGCTGAACCCTGAGGTTCTGCATTTCTGACAAGCGCCCAGGGGATGCTGATGCTCCTGCTCCACAGATCCCACTGTGAGCAACAGGAGGCCAGGTGGCCAGAATGAGTGAGTCATGCAGAAAACCTGGTGCTATGCCCCGGGCAAAGCATGCCGCCTTGAGCTGCACGGATGGACTCAGTGACCAGATCAAGAGATGCTGGTCCTCTGTGTCCTGCACTGCATGAGGCTTCAAGGCCACTGACAACCACAGTTTACCCAGAGGAAGACCCTAGGATGCCCAGGGGTCCAGAGTGCACAGGAGAGAGACAGGAGAGAGTGCAGATGCCCTGGGGGAGAGAAGGGCTGTCACCGGGTGGAGAAGGAGCCTGGCTCTGGGAACGCTGTGCAGAAGAACTGGGACCAGCAGCTGAAGTCATCTGGAAGCAAAGGGTTCAGTACCCTAATACTCTTTCTGACCCTTCGAGCCTCTGACAATGGCAAGTGCCCAACAAAGCTGAGCTCGTGGCCTCTGCGGGTCTTCAAGCAAAAGCTGAATCAATGCTTGTGACTGATGGTAAAGAGTGGCTTTTTATTCTAGACTGGTGCTTGAAATCAATCCTCTCCAAGGTCTCTTTCAACTCTGATGTTCTATAAGCCCACTTAGGACTCACATCTCGTCTTTAGAGAAAGCCTGGCCTAGGCTGAAACTTCTCTCATGCGTCCCTACACGCCAGACGGCTGCTGTGTGCATCCTGGCTCTGATCCACAGCTGAGTCTCTCCTGCTGCTAACTGGGAGTAAAGGCCATTGTCACACAGATCAGTTACCTGGTCCAGCCGTCCTTCAGTGCCTCGGTGCAGAGCTGTGGGGAAACAAGGACAGCCATCATCATACACGGACAAGCTCTCCTCGGTCTCATGACTACCTCAGTCGTCTCTGATCTGAGACACAAACGTTATGGCTGCGACATGAACCAGAAGAACACCCATGGGTGGTTGAATTAAGAGATGAAACAGCTTAGCCAACAAGCATAACTCTTTGTACCTGTAGGGAGACCTGCTTTCCTCATCTCTATGGAAACCATTTCTTTAACTGTCACAACATTCCTGGAAGGAAAATGGAGCATTTACATCCCTCTTTCTAAGCTGGATGTTCTGTGGCTCCACAGAACTGATGGCTGTAACAGCAACAAGCAGAAGCTGGTCTCTCCTCTCCCTCTCAGCTGTGAGTACGGCGTGACAGGAAACAGGAGTAGGTCAACCACGCTCTGACAGCACACCACGTGCCAGCCAATGCGGTGAGCATTATGCATCTTGCAGTATTTATCTGAATCCTCAAAACCACCACGAGACAGGAATTATTTCCCCATTTCACACTGAGGAAAAAGACTCAGAATGGTTAGGTGTAATATTGCCCAGTGTTATGCTGTTGCTCTGCCTGGGAATTAAATCCTGCCTGTCACCTTCCAGAACCAAAGCCAGGACTCACTAGGTTAGAGTCCCGTGTCCACAATGTGATGGCTTTACTTTTGCTCATGTGTAGGTACTTCCAGAATGAGGCCGTGGATCTATAATGATTTAGAAAGGCTAATAATAAAATATTAAATCTTGTGCAGAAAGCCAGGAATATAAAACCTGCCTACAAAACCAGGGTCAGAGGCCCACCTGCTTCAGCGTGTCGTCTGAGTAGCCGAGCCAGGCGCACGACGTGGTGTAGGCGGGGTAGCCCTGCACCAGCATTTGCTCTTCTGTGGAAAGACAACGCGCATGGACATTTGGTCCTTTTCTGGGACCTTCAGAAATAGCATCACCTGTTGCTCAGCTGCTGCCTGTGGAGAATCCAGCTGTTCTCCTCTGACCCCACCCTCCACATGCTCCCAGGTCCTGGTCCCGTCTTCTGGCCACATTCAGGATCATGCAAATTCTGAGGATGTCAAACCTCTGGGGTCAGCATACCCTCTTGGACTGCCCCACTAGCCAGGGCCTCCTGTGTCCTTGGCATGACCCTAAAGCCAAACTTCCTCTTAGCTGTGGCTGAAGGGAAGTCTGAGGAAGAGGTCACATCCAGGAGGCTTCTTCACGCAGACTCAGCCATCTGTCAGAGGGCCTGGCTGCTGGCATGGGGCATTTGGGGACAATATGAACTCATAAAGGACACAGGGACAAAGGACAACCCCATTGTCCCCTCAAAAGTGGACAATGATAGCAAAAATAATGAAGGAAATCTCACAACCCACCTCTTTCTTTTTTACCAACTTGACCTTTCTGCAGTATTTCTGGAAAAAATAAAAAGCACCGTCACTCTTTTGGACAACAAAGCATGCTGCTACGTTTACCCATCAGCACGTACCAGAAAGCTTCCAGTTCCACCACTTAAGTGCGACTCACCAAAGGCTTCCTCCTCGGTCAGGACGTCAGTGATGTATCTGAAATCGATGCAGGACAACAGCGTCCTGGGGTCCTGTCAGCAGGACAGGAGGGAGGAATGGCCCACATCCATTCACAAGCGGATTGTGTTCCCAAGGATCTGCTTCACTGTTACGTGGGGCTTATCCTTTCCGGGAAAGGGCCTTTGGGATTTGTGTAAAACTGTTTGATTCTGTCACTCCTTGGTGCAGGATCCGCAGGCCCTCGTGCTCTGACTCCTACTCCCCCCATTCCTCCCTTCCCTTGAAACGTAGGCTCCTATGACCATTCCAACTAACTCAGCTTCCAGAGAGAGGGCGCCATGTGAGGCAAGCACTCAGCAAAGTTAAATGGACAAGTGAGTGCCTGGAGTCCTCAGTACTTCATTCTCCACACGTCAGGGCTGGCCGGCAGGAAACTCTGAGCGGATGAACGTGACACTGGAGCCACTTAGTGGGAGAGGAAAGGAGGCTTGTCTCAGAGCCAGCCCACCCAGGGTCAGCCCTGTGCCCACTGTTTGTTACCAGTATGACCTTGGGCAATTTCCTCTCCCGTCAAATAGGGACAAGCACTTCACCGACAGGAAGAGAGCAGATTAACGTGCAATAGTGCTCAGCACTCACCCTGGACAATCACGGGCTGTGCCCTCCCCACCCCTTCCTGCCGCCACTCAGTGCTCTGGCCTCCCTGGGAAGGCTGCCCTTCTCGGCTGGGCCTCTGGCTGAGACCTCTCCCCACCCCACTCTAACAGTCAGCCGGGAAGCAGCCGGGAACTCCGTTCCCATGCAGGTTTTACTGTGACCAGTACTGTGACACTGTAACTGGTAGAAATCGGAACGGCTCCTTCAGCGCCGAGATTTGGCCTCCTTTACGAGCACTGGCACTGAAACAGGGAACAGGATCCAGAAGAATGAAAAGTCCACAGGTGGGATTTCAGGTGCCTTCCTAGTGGCCCTCAAATCATTCGGTTTTGATGGCCACCTCCTGCACCCTTCTGAAAGGCTAACCTTGAGCCTGAAGGTGGCTCAAGAGGTCCATGTCCTTCCCCTTCAGATGTCGCCCCCATGCCACCCGCAAGCATGTCAGAAAGATGGTGTGAGAGCCTCTCATCTTCACTTTCCTCCAGAGGAGGGACAATGTGTGATAGCCCAACGTGTTCAAGGCCATGGTGTGCTTTGTCTTTCCTTAATTGTGATGCCAAACAATAACAAGGGCCTTCAATTTGACCACCACACTTTTAGCGACCATCCAAGGCATCACCCTGAGGCAGCTGATTCTCAGAGAGGTTAAGTGGCATGCCCAAGGTCACTCAGCCAGTAAGTGGTGAAGCCAGGATTCAAAGCCACATCTGCCTGGGTCTGACGTTAACTTTGCCAGTTTTTCCTCCTCAGCAGCCAGGTGCTCATCCCCACTATAAACAGGTCAAGAAAGGAAGCGGCAAGGTGCATGTCTTCAGAACTCAGTGTCTGACTCCCTCCCTGCCAGAGTCGCACAGCGGAGACCACACAGTCTGATCCGCCATTTGCTTTTGGAGTCAAAGCAACCAGATAATATCTTAATAATAACATCTTGCTCTTCAGAGTTTGTGAAGCACTTTTCTTACTTAGTCTTTAAACCAATTCTATGAGGTTCCTGGAGAAGTTGTAACTGCCCCCTTTCGAGAATGTGTACTATGTGTGAAAGCTCCAAAGTTGGGGAGACAGACCCGCCCCTAGGACCACCCTGCCTGCATGAGCACAGCTGTTACTTCAAATATCCGAAAAAGCATATTTTACTGGTTTTTTGCCTTATCATCACTACAGTGATCCACAGACAGTCCTGAACATACTTCCTGATAATCAAAAGGGAAGTAACCCGTGAAACCCATTTCATTTACAGAAACAATTATAAAGAATTTACTTACCATGTCAACAAGTAACTTCCACAGAGGCTTGAAGACAAAAAAGAAAAGATTTTGAAAACACACGTGTACAGTACCCATCTGTTTCCTGACAGCTGCACCAGCCGCCAACGGGCTACCAGATGCCTGCCCCCCCCCCTTCCCCGGGCTCTAACTGTTTCCCAGCCCATCACCTTCGCTGCCCCCCCTTCTTTCTCAGCCCGTTCTAACTACTCTGACAATTTCCTAACTACCGCCAATCTCTCTCAGCCGAGGAGAAAATCAAACAGTTCTCTTTATTTCCTTTTGGGGGCCTGCTGTGTATGTCTTTCGTCCTCAGAAGGCCGCTCCTAGAGGAGGTGTTCATCCTCCACCACGACTGTGTCCTTCCCCAGCCTCAGGGCGCTCCTGCGGGGCGGTACCTTCCCCTCCTGCTTGGCCCACAGGTCCCACACAGCGTTGAGAACGGCTGCTGTAGCTAGATGCACAACACCTTTCTCAGGGCCGATCTGGTCAGGAAGCAAAACACACCAGCGCTTCTTAGAAAGGAAAAAGGTACGTAGGTCTCCTAGCCAGGGGTGCCTTTCAAGAATCAAAAGGCAGCAACAGAAACTCACTTAGAGATTAAGCTTGTTTTTAATAGTTTCTAACCTATAGAAAAGTTGCAAGAAGAGTACAAAGAATTCCTTTATATTTCCCTTCTCTTTGTCTCTCTCCCTCTCTCGATGTATATACATACATATACAGATAAATAAAACATACATAATATAAATAAAATTTATTTTACTGATCTGTTTGAGATAAAGTCACAGATATCATGCTTCTTTAACCCTAAATACTTCAGAGTGTAGTTCCCCCAAACAAGGCCATTCTCTTTCTTTTTTTGAGGAAGATTAGCCCTGAGCTAACATCTGCTGCCAATCCTCCTCTATTTTTTTGCTGGGGAAGACTGGCCCTGAGCTCACATCCATGCCCATCTTCCTCTACTTTATATGTGGGACGCCTGCCACAGCATGGCTTGCCAAGTGGTGTCACGTCCGCATCTGGGATCCGAACTAGTGAACCCCAGGCCACCGAAGCAGAATGTGCACACTTAACTGCTGCGCCACTGGGCCAGCCCTAACAAGGCCGTTCTCTTAGATTTTTTAAAAAAATTTTTTCCTTTTTCTCCTCAAAGCCCCCTGGTACATAGTTGTATATTCTTCATTGTGGGTCCTTCTAGTTGTGGCATGTGGGACGCTGCCTCAGCATGGTTTGATGAGCAGTGCCATGTCCGCGCCCAGGATTCGAACAAACAAAACATTGGGCCGCCTGCAGCGGAGCGTGCAAACTTAACCACTCGGCCACGGGGCCAGCCCCACAAGGCCATTCTCTTACATAACCACAGAACGATGGTCAAATTCAGGGAATATAACAATGACAGAAGATCATTACCTATGACAGTCCATAATCAAATTTCAACAATTGTCCCAATCATGTACTTTATTTTACTGACATATTGCATTTAGTTTTCATGTCTCTTTTTACCTGGAACAATTTTTCTTTTTCTTTTTTTTTAATGTTATCAACATTTTTAAGGAGTACAAGCCAGGTGACTTGTAGTGTTCCTCAGGGTGGGCTGGTCTGGGGTTCCTTCATGATTAGAGTCAGGTTATCATTTTTGGCACAAAGGCTACAGAAGGGATGTTGTCATTTTGCTTTTTATTAGGGCCATTATCATTTAGCACCTGGGTAAGTCAGTGTCCATTTGTCTTCGTCACTGTGGATTACCATTTTCCCTTTTTAAGTAAGGAGATTAATATTGCCCCCAAATTTTAGCATCTACTGATGATTCTCGCCTCCATCAATTATAGCCATGATGGTTGCAACATGGTGGTTTTCTCATGTTATCATTCCTTTTATATTAGCTTGTATTCTACTGTATTGACCAGATTTCCCTTGTTTGTTTACTATCTGAATGGACTCATGGACTCTTATGTTATTCAATGAGTTATACCATTACTACCATTTGTATTTTGATGCTTGAATTGTCCCAGATCTAGCCAGTGGGGGCTTTTTCAAGGGGACACCTTTAAAAGCAAGTTTAACTTGCCCTACAGAAAGTTAAAAATGAAATCTGAGGCAACGTGCATTCTCTTGTGGCTTTCTCTGTGCACGGACAGGAGACTGAACAGAACTGGGAAAAGACAGAGCTGGTGTCAGGAGGCAAGGGCAACTGCCGGTTATTGGACCGATCTCACTGTGATAGAATCCTCTCTCTAGAACCTCACTTTTTCCATGCTTTGAACTTAGGGTTCAAAGACAGACCTGTACACGTAAGAGGTGCTCTGGTCTCTATCTGCTTAACCTTTGCTCTTCTGTTTCTGTCCTTAATAACCTCCTCCCACAACTCCAATACTACTCACATTATCTCTCCCCAAAAAAAGGTTGCCCATTCAGCACTTTATCTGCTAGAGTCTAGACCACTTCTTCCCATTCAGGCAGTGGAGGCGAGGTCCAGGAGGGCAGAGCAGCTCTCAGGATCCAAATACGTCCAGATTCAAGCCATACAGAAAGGAATCGGTTACCTCAAAACACTGATTGTCTACAGAGTTCAAGCCCTAAGTTATCTGAATAACATGTTTTACCTTAAAATTGTAAACCCATCTCTATTTTCACATTTGTTCAGTCAAAGGACATCCTGGTAACATTATTTATAGAAGCATTTTACGAAATAGGCCCCTTACCCATCTGAGCTGCCCGTCACTTGTGAGCTGCCTGTAGAAGGCTCTGAAGTCACCAACAATGTCCTTGAGGTCCTTGTGAAGCACATGGTGGGCCAGGGCATTCACAGCACAGACAACTATTAAAAGAGGATTTAATTCTTGGGCATGTTTTGGTATAAAGTCAATAAATTAAGACATGCAAGCACCGCAAACATTCTAATGGCATTTCATGAAAATAATTTTAAATACAAAAGGTGTTTGCTTTAAAAAACTGCCCCAAACATGTCTTCTGTGGTTGTCATAAGTAATATCACACAAGTAGAACAGCTGTTGATCTGCAGACTGAGCTTAATTTCTGAGTTGAGTAAACACATTTTGATCAGTTGCCATGTGAAAAACAGACTGTAGATCTGAAAGTTTAAATCATGCCCAAATTATTTTCTTGTTCACTTTTTAAAGTATCTGGACAGTCAGATTCAAAACCAAACCTTGCTAGTTCATTGTTCCAAAGGAATGAGAAGACTGACTGATAGAATTAAAAAAAAAAAAAACCCTTTTTACTGTCAAGAACAGTTATGTGTCACTTAACAATGGGGATAGGTTCTGAGAAATGCATTGTTAGGTGATTTCATCACTATGTGAACATCATAGAGTACATTTACACAAACCTAGATAGTATAGCCTACTTACACCTGGTACTAATCTTCTGGGACCACACTGTTGTATGTGCGGTCTGTTGTTGACCAAAACGTCTTTATATGGTGCATGACTGTACAGGAAATATCTTGAATTCACATATAACACACTATTAAAGATGAAATGAAATGAATCTGCAATTAGCCTAATACTTACATGTAAAATGTTCAAGTACATGAAAACACTTATCATAAACATTAAGTTTCTTACCTTGACTTACTTATTGATATACTACATTTTTCATAAGTAATTTGAGGTTAAACTTAATTTGGGTCACTATTACCATCAATTATTTATTTTTGGTGTTTTACTTAAAAAAGCTTTATAGTGGGGGCTGGCCCCGTGGCCGAGCGGTTAAGTTTGCGCGCTGCGCTGCAGGCAGCCCAGTGTTTCATTGGTTCGAATCCTGGGCGCGGACATGGCACTGCTCATCAGACCACGCTGAGGCAGCGTCCCACATGCCACAACTAGAAGAACCCACAACGAAGAATACACAACTATGTACCGGGAGGCGTTGGGGAGAAAAAGGAAAAAATAAAAAAATCTTTAAAAAAACAAACAAACAAACAAACAAACAGCCTTTGTGAAGCTTATATACTTATAGTGGAAATAAGATTATAGGTGTCTTATAATGGAGATGGAAATTGATCTAGCCCTGCCCCAGGGGAGCCCCAGGACAGCTGGGTGGGGAGGGGAAGGGAGGAGGGCGAGGCCAGCGAAGGACCTCCAGCACTGAGCTCAGCAAGCATCCGAGAAGAGCCTCAGGTCTGTCTGAGAAGCACGTGGTGTGCGCAGGCTCCCTCACTGCGGCTCCAGCCGGCAGGGTCCAAAGTCTCAGCTGCTGACAGAGTGGTTCCAATGGCCCATCCCACAACACATGTTGTAAGCTTGCTGCGTTTTACACAACCTCTGGGGCCGCCCTGTGTGGTCTGCAGTGTGGAGAAAGCAGCTTCACAAAGTGCTCAGCTTACACCAGAGACCCTTAAAGTCGCAGAAGCTGACACAGCTCACAGACCTATGGTGTCAGTGGTAACTGCCTCGGGGACAACGTCAGCAGTAAATCAGTGACCTAACCGGGAAGCAGACAGGGAGTCACTGCATGTCTCCTCCTCCTGCCTGGCAGATTCCCTGGCACAAAGCCTCGCCTCCGCTCTGAAGCCGTCCCTGGCCCTCCTGGACAATGGACTAACCCTCTCTCCGTGTACCTTGTACCCACTTCAAAAACACGAGTCTTTCTCACACTGCACTACCTTCTCTTTATGTTTGCCTCCCTGAGAAGCATGTGCATTCCTTCTCCTGGTGTGTGGGACTCTGTCTCCCTTCTCTCTCTTTCTACAATCTTCTCTCCAGGGCCCGGATACACAGGAGCACTCAAGGGAGGTCTGCCTAAGGACAGGCTGACGGCATGACTGAATGCCAGCCCTGTGAGAGGCGGGCAGCTAGGTGGCATCCACCGAAAGTTCAAAAAAGGTTCCCATGTCCTTCACACAGACACACACCCCTCTTTTCTGCTCCACAATAAGAAAATCTTTCAGCAGGGGCCTGACTTTTATTCCACAACTAAGAGAGAGCTAACACTGCAATACTCCCGGGAGGGCTACCACGTCCTCACCAAAGCTAGACACTCTGGTTCCTCCCCTCCCGGCCCCTTATTCTTCAGCCTATCATAACTTGGCTCCTCATGATCCTTTGAAATTGATGATCTGGCAAAGGTCCCCTTT